ATTTGATTCCCAAGCTAACAAATATTTCCAGATTCCTATCTGAGTTTTATGGAGATTGTGGAAAGGAACTCAAGGGATAACCACTTGTGGTTTTAAACTGATGGGTTTTGATTAAAACCTCATGCCAAGCAAAGAATGCAACTACCTCGCACAAGGACAGGGAGCCATCCTTCAACTCCCATCAGCCTCAATCAGTAAAGGAGGATGAGAGTTGTAGCTCAACAACATCTGGAGGGTATAAGGTTGTACCTGACTAGAATATAGATCCTCATTCCTTCTTTACAAATGAACAGGGCAGGCATATGAATATGTAGCTGCCTCCATCATGTCTTTGTAGGCCCAGAAGTGAGAGCCAGAGAACTCCCAGCTCCCATTTTTTTGTAAACAGTAGGCCTTCTGAGACAAGAATTTCAGTATTCACTGCAAGCATCTGTTTAGAATGGCTATGTTCAGTCAGCTTTGTGTGGGGCATATGAGTAACAACACACAGCGATTTTGAAGCCACACTGAGAGCATTTCTCTTGCCACTGAAAAACCACAGCTGACTCCTCGCATCTCATACTTCTAGAGATGCTAACAAGTTGCTGTGACTGGCATATTTTTGCAAATGCTGCTCCTGTGAACGGCTCACTCATTGGAACATTAGAAAGTGGCCAGAGAGGGGGATACCCAGGTGACCACAGCTCAGGTGAGCAGCTGTTGGGGTGAATAGGCCAGCTGCAGTAACACCTGCACATAGGGGCCTAGCACATGCTTTTAAAAATATTTGCAATTTGATCCATAGATCCATGAGAAGAGTATTGGTTGTGGATCCTTTCCTCATTTTTTCCTTTGCAAACAGATGGGAAGGTGCAGGGTGAAGGGGATGTTGGCATGGGGCAAATGCACCAGCAGGAAGGTCAAATGGCTCCACTTGTGTGTTTGCACCATGCTGACCCTTTTGCCAATTCACCCTTTCTCCTCTCCCTCCTGGAAAGCAACAGTGGCCCACTTGCCAGGAAGCTAGCCTAGTGGCTCTGTCCCCACCACCCCTGCCCCGCAAGCCACTTCTGCAAAGAGGGTGACCAAAATTTCCTGTGTACAGGCTGGAGTATAATATAATGGCTCTTAATGTAGTAAGTTTTGAGTCACTACACAAATAGGTGGGTCTGCTTTTATTTTGTAATAACTATGGTACGAAATCTGAACACCTTGACTTTCACAACCATAACTTTAATCATGGGCTGTCAGTGGACGGAGCAAATAATTATCCAAAGTTTATGTCCTTTAGACAAAACATCAATGATATTATATATTGCTGTAAACCACATAGAGGATTGTGCTAGGTTTATTTTAACAACCAAGCAGTGTGTATTTTTTTAAAAACAAAAAATAAGGTCAGGAGTTACAACTGCGCTCAGTTGAAGTGAACATTCTGAGACCAATTTTATAAAATCAGCAGACTTTGTGCCCAACTTATAAAGATGGCATGAGCTGACAGTTACGCATTAGAATAAAGGTCACACTTTTATCACTTAAGCTGTGTGATGTGGGATCATTAAAACATCCATTTGGGAACATGCTTATTAGGGGGAAAGCGGGTTAGTGAAAATAACATACAAAATGCATTCCATAGGGGGAGATTGCAAGCAAAAGTGTGTACATTAAGCAAAATTTCATACAGAAATGTATATATTAGAAACGCACACTAAAATACTGACAAATATTCATGAGGATTTAAAAACAACAACCCCAGACTGCTATAGGAATATGGAAAATGGAATTTAAGATTGCAAAGATGAGAAGTTGGGAGCAACAAGTACTGACAGATGCATCCATCCCTTGGGCAAGTGAAAGCCAGCATATACTGTGGTACCTTGGTTTACAACCATAATCCGTTCTGGAGGTCTGTTTGTAAACCAAAACAGGTTGTAACCCAAGGCGCGCTTTTGCCAATGGGGCTTCCCAAAAAATGTGTTTGGGGAAAAAGTGGGTTGTAATCCAAAAAAAGGTTGCAAACTGGGACACACACTTCCACATTTAACGTGTTTGTAATCCAAAATGTATGCAAACCAAGATGTATGCAAACCAAGGTACCACTGTAAATGCAAATGCAAATATTAGTGAAAATAATATAAAAATCAATTATAATGGGAGCAGTTTCTTTGCAATAGATAGATAGATGGCAAAACTGCATAAAAACATGTATACTAGGAGTTTTTTAAAAAAATAATTTGCAAACTGCCATGGAAATGTGGAGAAATTGGATCCTCATAACAGAGGGTCCTGGTTGCACGCGGGACCCAAGAGCTCACCTCATAGGTGTGATCCCAGGGGCTTTAAAAACAGCAGTGTGATGCAAGGAGGGGCATTTGCTTTGCACTGTTGAACACCCGCCCACCCTCCCTAGTTTAGGTAGAGTCGCTTGGCCTTGCTTTGGTTTGGATCGCCTGTTTTGGAACAGGGGCTGGGTAGGAATTTTTTCCATTTGGCAGATTGGCTTTAGCCATTTGGTTTTCGCCTACCCCTTAGCAAATCGTCACAACTTGTAAGGTGGCAGTTAGGCATTGGCTCAGTTGGATTGTGGGGAGGGGAGGTGCGGGCATCACCTGCCCCTCCAGGAACTGGGTATTCCGTTAAAGGAATCTGGGGGTCCTGGATCTTGTTTGAAGTCCGCTTGAGGGGCTAGGGACGCCAGGACCACAGGAACCCCGGGGTGAGCTTAGGTTGGTCCTCATCGACCTTGCTCCCTCGTTTGGTTTACCCCATTGGACAATCACCCTGAGAGGTGGAGCCAGTTATAGTGGGGAGTCAATGCCTAAGCCAATACCGCTCACGTGATTGTATTTCAATAAAGTTATGGCCCAAAATTTTGCCCCAAAACTTAAACCAATATAAGTGTCCGTGTGTATTTATTTTGGGGGTGGGTCTTGGGGCCTCGGGACGCAACTGAATTTTAAGACTGGAAAACAGCTTTGGATACTCTATTATCCCACCACAAGCATCTTTAGACATCCCAGAACAGTGAATCTTAAATTTTCCTCCCCGCACAGACCACTTGAACATTGCTGGTGCTCTCAGCAAACCAGTTAATAAACTTTTATGGTACTACAAATCAAATATAGCTCATTACCAGACTGTCATACCTGCTTAGGAAAACCATGGCTCCCAGATCTGGCTTCCCCTGACCCCTCTGCCCCGGTAATCCAGCCCTGGACAAAACCACCTCAATCGCCATCATAAAATGAAATAAATCAAGTACAGTGGCCAGTTAAGGTGGGTGGTTGTTTTTTTAATGCTCTGAAACTTTTCATGGAATGCCTTAATGGAGCTTGTGGACCACCATTATTCCACAGACCACAATTTGAGGGCCTCTGTCCTGTATCTCTCTATCCAACCAAGATCATCTTATCTTTTGAGCAGAGGCAACTGCTGCAAAGAAGGAAGCAAAATGAAAAAGATCCAGCTAAGCACATGTTTTCTTCCAGTATTTGATTCCATGACACGCCATTAGTAAAAGATCACAAGCAACCATTTGGTTATCCATGCATTTTATTGTAGAGAACAACAGAGACATAGGGATTTCTGGCAATGCTGAAAAGCCGAATGCCATGCTGCAACAATTTTACGCACTGAGATGAGAAATAACCACCAACCACAAATATTGTAGGCACAGAACCTGGGAAGAACACTTGGGAAGAACCCCAACCTCAAGTACAGAGCTTGTGTAATCTAATGCATTTTCAGTGATGGCAAAAAAATGATTCATGAAGAAGGCCTTTTGGTCTTACACAATGACCTTCACTTAAATGGAGTGTTTTTGTGATGTTATGAAAGGCAACTTTTGAGGGAAACCCATCATTTGCTATGAATGACCATAATTACTAATTATAGGGCATCTGAACATTTCTGTGGTCACTTGTCATGCCATGTAATACGGAATTAGCCTGACAGGGGAAGAATGTGGTGCCACAAATTGAATCTTGAAAATAAACCAAGCCAAGTTTTCCATCTCTTTTTTTGAGGAGCACATCTCTAGTCCTCATGATGATGGGGGAAATTCTCTGATTATGGTTCAGCATTCAAAAGCCCTTAGAATATGTGTGTCTTTGGAGGGGAGGTGGTGTTAGTGCTTTGAGTGGTCGAGATGCTGAGCTTCTTATTCTTGGCTCATCTTTCTTGATGGACACCGATCCCTTTACTCTGTCCTTACTTCCTATCTCTACTATTGATCTCCAGTTTTCCCTCACCCACTTTTCACCATTGCAGTCTTTCCCAATAAATTCTATATTCCGCCCCCTATCCATTTTGCACTACAAATCAGTTAGAAATACTATATGAATACTTGTAGATTTTGTGCATTTGGATTTCTGAAGCTGTTTTCTGCTTGAAATATTTTTGCTTTGTATTGCAAAAGAGTCTGACAGTGATGCCGTACCGTTTACATTACCAGAGTAAGAGAAGGACATTGTAGTCCAAACATAGGGAGGAAACAATGCACTAGGAGGGGGGAGCTATACATATCCTTGTATTAGTCAGAACGGTACAGAAGTGAAGGTGTGATAAGAGTCATTTAAAATTGTCTACATCACAAAGAGAGACTTAAAAAATGAACCAATGCACAAAGCCTTTTTAAAGAGGTACAGGTGAAACTCGAAAAATTAGAATATCGTGGAAAAGTTTATTTACTTCAGTAGCTCCACTTAAAAGGTGAAACTAATATATGAGATAGACTCATGACATGCAAAGAGAGTACATATGTACTGAGTACATATGCATGCTTCTATTTCTTAGAGGTCCAATATTGCTCCATTTGCAGTCCTTGTTTTGCGGATTTCATTTAATATTCTAATTTTCTGAGATTGTTAATTTGGGGTTTTCATCAGCTGTACTCCATGATCATCACAATTATAACAAATAAAGGCTTGACATATCACGCTTTGCATGTCATGAGCCTATCTCATATATTAGTTTCACCTTTTAAGTTGAATTACTGAAATAAATGAACTTTCCCACGATATTCTAATTTTCCGAGTTTCACCTGTACTTTCGAATAAAACAAAAAAAATATATGATTGATTTTATTGAGGGTATGTTTCATGAAGATGTCAGTGTCAAAAATAAAAAAGGAAGAAAAGGTGGGGGAAGTATATGTGACGCAGCAGCAGACACCTTACTTTAAGGAAGAAGTGGGTTCATTAGAGTGCAACTACAGAACGGCCCAAGGAAAGGAGGAATGTCGTTTAAAAGATTTCATGTGTCACGAAATCCTATAGCACTGGCAGGGGCCCTGATCACTGCTTCAGGTAGTGCTTGCAGATTGAAAACGACTTGATCCAAAAAATGAGGAGTTTATATGAATCATGTTAAATCGCAGTATTTCTGAAAGGACCTACTGCTCCAGGATAACACACTCCAACGTGGGCACCTACTGGTCCAGGATAACACACACCTACAGGAGCACCTATAGCTCCAGGACAACACACACCTATAGGAGCACCTATGGCTCTGGGAATACACACACCAACAGGGGCACCTACTCCTACACAGGGTTCCCCCCCAAAGCCAAAACCTCCTATAGATGGGCCACCTACTCCAGGCTGGCAACCCACAACTCCCAGGCCACCTGCAATCCTATGTCCAAATCCAGCTCCAAATGGGATGACACCAGGTGGTCCATAACCCCCAGACAGGTAGCCTCCATCTGGGCAACCTCCTCCTATACTCCCAGTGGCATGCCCCTTGCTGGCTGATGCTTGTGCACTTCCTGAGCTAAAACCTGCACCTGGGCCACAGTCTACCCCTATGCCAGCTCTTCCTCCTGTTGTGGGACTGTCAACGCCTACAGGAGAACTTGGTTTACAAGCAGATTGAGACACATTCTGGGAGCTGTATTGTGTTCCTGAGTAGAGTTCTGCATCTGCAGAGGCATGTCCTGCATCTACATGACTATCTACAGTCCTTGGGTGGTTTCCAACACTTCTGGAGCTCCTTTTGTAGCTCCCATGGCCTCCTGCACTATAACCTCCACGATGTCCTTCACTGTGTCCTCCACCGTATCCACCTCCTGTAGGACCATGTGCACCTGAAGAAGTAAATCCAGCAGAGCCCTCTGTGTAGGGTGGCTTGAAAACATCTGCAAGGAGGAAACATTCAGAAGTAAGATTGGAACTGACCCAGCCAGAAAGAGACCTGATTATCACCTTATCGTTGCAGCTTTGTTGTTGCTGAGTTGCCATGAGGTGAAAACTGTGTTGGAAATCTCCCTAGCATTCTTTCTTTCTCTGTGTGTGTGTGAATGAATAGCAATGACTGAATGAAGTGGATTTCTTTTGGAGTAGGTCAGTTTGAACCAGATGAGTGCAATGACCTGAAAAGCAATAGTTTTCTAAACACAGTTCAGATCACTTTCAACTCAGGTGGGAGTTTAACACAGAGACACGACACCTTCAGTGTTGGCACAATCATTCATTAGCTATCTAAGTGGCCAATACTGGACAAAGTTAATGTGGGAATCAGTTCTAACTCTATGATCCATCAGACCAAAGAGCAAAAGTGGTTAATCAGGTGGGCTATCTTCCCAGCAGGTGGGCTGCTGCTGCTTACTGGCAGAGGGAACGTGGTAGGGAGGTTGGTGCAGTGCAAACACACTGGCAGAACAAATTCAGTTGCACTACACTGACCTCACCGTCTCCTCAGCCCATCCCCTCTCCCTCCCAGGAAGCAACAATGGCCCGCCTTCTGGAAAGCTACTCTTACAGCTCTGCCCAACCCAATGAATCACTTCTGCCAAAGAGTGCACCATATCGAGATTCCTCGGGAAAATAAAGGGAATAGTCTGGTTGATTGATAGAAATTATTTGGGGAATGCCAAATAATCTTCTGGGAAGTCTAGCCAGTGAAGCATCAAAATGGCTTGGGTTCAGCAGATCTAAGCAGGAACACAAAGCAGGAAGCTGGAGAAGGAGTGAAGTTACACACACACACACACACACACACACACACACACACACGAGCACTCCAGTCTCCAATTGTTAAGGATGCAGAAAAGTTATAAAGGCAGCAGACATGAAAAAGGAAACAACAAGAGCATGTAGTAGGTTGCCCAAGCCCAACACAACCTCATTGGTTTTACTCACCTATAGCAACAGGATTTCCTCTGACTATCCTGTTGCGGAAAAAAGAAAATGCATAATTGCTGTTAGTTTACCTTGATTATGGCTTTGAAGCAGAATCCACCCAGGCAATTCTGCTGCACATGCCTTTTGCAAATGCAGGGTGGAATACAACATCCCTTCATTTCAATGGAGAGCACACAGGGCATCAAGATCTTATTTGAAAAGTACCAGTTTCTATACAATCAGACAAGTTCAATCTTAATTAAAATCACTTATTGCTTATCTAAGGTCACGCTAGCCCAGTTGATTGCCCCATTATGGTTTCCTGTTTTGATGCCTGTGTTTCGCAGAAATGTTTGCACTCGGAACGGCATGACCATCTCCAAAACTGGAAACACCATGGATGGAATTCAGTGTTGCACTATGGTGAGTGTCCCATTAACACAAGCATTGTAGCTTGCCAGGCGGAACAATCACACCTTTACTTCTCCCATGCACTTTTCCGGGGATGGGGCTTCTCCCAACCACACCAAGGCCATTTGGGGGCATGTGAGGGAGCATGGAGGGAGGAGGGAGAATGAAACCCCATTGCACAAGTGGAAGCCCATTTTGCTTAAGCAACGCCTGCACCATGTCTCCTGTTCCTGTCCCTGCATAACATTTGATGATGGAAAATGCATTATGTGACATCATCTTGTTGTGCGTTGACTTACCTAACCAGCAGCTAATGGAGAACTATACAGTGGTACCTCGGTTTACGAACGTAATCCGTTCCAGAAGTCCGTTCTTAAACCAAAACCATTCTTAAACCGAAGCGCGCTTTCCCTAATGAGGCCTTCTGCCACCGGTGCCCTTCCACTGTTCAGATTCCATTCTTAGAGAAAGGTAAAGTTCTCAAACCAGGACAATATTTCCGGTTTTGCGGAGTTTGTAAACCGAATAGTTCTTAAACCGGACTGTTCTTAAACTGAGGTACAGTGGTACCTCAGGTTACAGACGCTTCAGGTTACAGATTCCGCTAACCCAGAAATAGTACCTTGGGTTAAGAACTTTGCTTCAGGATGAGAACAGAAATTGGTGGCGGCAACTTGGTGGCAGCAGCAGGCCCCATTAAATTGGTACTTCAGGTTAAGAACAGTTTCAGGTTAAGAATGGACCTCCAGAATGAATTAAGTTCTTAACCCGAGGTACCACTGTACCACTGTACTAAGGTGTGTGTTTTCTCTAGGACTGTTAGTGAAAGTGTGTTGAAACAGCATTGAGGTGCTAGACTATAGGAGTGCCTTTGGTCCCTAATTAAGTCTCCTACCCTCAGATGCACTGTCTCAGGATGAGTGTTGAGGTAAGGGCAAGGGTCAGCTGCTGGTCTTCTAAATGTGGAATGCGGGGGAATTGCTCTTCACTTCAGACAGCAAAATGCCTTGGGCTTGTTCTGTTCATAGGTTTGTCTTTGTGGATAAGTCCTGTGTTCCAAGAAGGGCAGCCTGGCATGTGGAACGCCCTCCCACCAGATGTCAAAGAGAACAACAACTACCAGACTTTTAGAAGACATCTAAAGGCAGCCCTGTTTAGGGAAGCTTTTAATGTTTGATGTATTACAGTATATTAATATTTTTTTTGGAAGCTGCCCAGAGTGGCTGGGGAAGCCCAGCCAGATGGAGGGGGTATAAATAATAAATTATTATTATTATTATTATTATTATTATTATTATTATTATTATTATTATTGCCAGAGGGTCTACAAAAGTCATCAGCACAGCTTCAAATCAGGGTTGCCAACTTGAATAAAATATGGGGGGGGAGTAAGCCCCTCCCCACATAATTGATCACATGACAGGGTACACGGACACCATTTGAATGGCAATGGCCATCAACTCCGGGAAAGGGCTGGCCCCTAGGACTTAGCTCCTATGCTTCAGATCAGCATGGATCCAGCTGCTGGCCAAGAACAGAGTCTTTCTCATTCACAATTTGGAATGAGTTGCTAACAGAGATCTGTATGGACACTTCCCTAGTTGGCCTTCACTGGCAGGCAAAAATGTTTTCAGCTCCATGTCTTCATGGCTGACCCAGGAGCAGATGGCATGGTGGGGCGATGCCATTTACGTGGCCGTCCTCTAGCTGAGTCACTGCTGCATACTAGGAAGAAGACAGGGTGGAAGCTCTGAGGTCAGTAGAGTGCAAATGCACCAGCAGGACCACTGGATTGGCTCCACTAGCATGTTTGCACCACATCAGCTTTGTCAACTCCTCACCTACTTCGCCATACAAGACTGCAGCAATGACTCAACCACACATCTTGAGGGCCACTGATGAATTTTGCTTATAGCAAAGTTGCTCTTTAATGAAATCAAAAATAAATAAAGGAGGCTAAAATAAATCTCGGTGCATTTAACTATGTTTAGCATGTTTGCATGTGTGCCCATATATTTTTGTATAATTCGCAGTTACCTGTACTCCTCCCCTTCCAGGAGTGTCTTATATGTAGCAATCTCAATATCCAGAGCCAACTTGGTGTTCAGAAGTTCATGGTAGTCCCTCAGCAAGCCAGCTAGGTCATCCTTGGCCTTCTGCAGGGCTGTCTGCAGCTCAATGTGCTTATCTCGAGCATCCTTAAGAGCACCATCTCCACGGTGCTCAACATCACAAATGGCTGATTGCAAAATATCAACCTGTCAAGCAAAGCAAAGCAAAACAAAACAAAAATCTGAACTGATTTAAGAGGAAATTCTGTAAGATTATGTGGTGACTAGGGATTGGTGATTTCGCTTTCTCTCCATTTCTCATTTTTCTACCGTTCAATTCAGAACCATTAACAAAAATGTTAAGTTCTGATTGGAGGGAAAGGATCAAAACCATGAAAGAAGCCACCCATTTAAATCCAGGCAATTCAAAGATGTGGGAGCAGAGTGGCCAAGACAAAAGAAGAAGAAGAAGAAAGGGCTGAATTTTCCCCACTCTGCAAATGACTTAGATTACTTTTTTGGAAGCCATCTTGGGGGCCTGTTGTCATATTTTAAATTCTTAGCTATCAGTAGCAGCACCTGTGGTGGGATGGAACTGACCTCCTGACACTAGTATCAGAGCTGTTTGGCTGGGATGGGGCAGCAGTGAGGCCAAAGTCACATGGTTGCACTGGTGAGAAGACTGGATTGGTGGTGGCATTCCTGATGGTGCAGCTACACAATGCTGGCCTTCCTGACACCCACCCCACTTCATCCAGGGCATAAGCTTTGCTCCACCATTTGCTTTGCTTCTGATATTGATATTGATACTGATATTGAAACAATGGCAAATAAAATCACCAGTCAGATTTTGCTACAATGTTACTGAGGGCAGCTCAGAAGAGAGGAAAGAGAAGCAGGTCCAACTGACGAAGGAAGCTAGCATCCCCCCCCCCCCAAGTTTCTGTGCTCAGAAAGATCTTCAAGGGAAAAACGTTCTTCAACACTGAAGTTCTCAAGAAATAGTAAGGTGTTTTGGTTTAGTCTGTTGTCACTTGTAGATATGGTATGGTTGACCATCTGCTCCCAAATAAAGACATAGCAAGTGACAAATTCTCTCCTACCTGCTTTTTAATGGCATCATTCTCAGACTGCAACTTATTGACCAGCCTGGTCAGATCTGCAATCTCGTGCTGGTTTATCTTCAGATTGTCTGAGTATTTCCCTCTTTGCTCCTGGAGCTCTTGGAACTGGTACCCAGAAAAGAGAAGGATGTTAAAAAGAGAATTGTCACCAAGTGAAATCTGAAAGCTCCTCCTTGGGTGAAACACGTGAAGGATGCCTGAGGTTCAGTAAGGTCTACCAAAAGTTTCTGGTGAAGGGGATCTGCATATATGTAGATTGTTATTAGCTATTTACCATTCTTAAAAATAAATCGAATTCCACTTATAACAAAACATATATACGGTACATCTCAAATTATAAGAACAGTATAGAAGCAATATATATAATAATAATTGGAGAAAATATAAATTATAACTAACAAATATTCCCAGAAAATATTGTAGTGTGAAACTGTTGAGGACTGTGAGAGACTCTGGAGACCAACCATGTCCGTCCATGTTTATAAAACAATGAAATCACACAATACTGCCAAAAAACAATCACATCTACAGTGGTACCTCGGGTTACATGCGCTTCAGGTTACATATGCTTCAGGTTACAGACTCCGCTAACCCAGAAATATTACCTCGAGTTAAGAACTTTGCTTCAGGATGAGAACAGAAATCGTGCAGCAGCGGCAGTGGGAGGCCCCATTAGCTAAAGTGGTGCTTCAGGTTAAGAACAGTTTCAGGTTAAGAACAGACCTCCGGAACGAATTAAGTACTTAACCCGAGGTACCACTGTACACTGGTTACCAGCTTGCTTCCCCCCAAAAAAGAATCACTTAGAATGAGATTTGGATGTTTCTCCTTGAGCAAAATATGAAAATAATTTTGAGGAAAGATTTAAGGTTGCTTTTTCTTTAAAAAGGCTACTTCTTTTTAAAAAGCACTACTTCACAGTAGTGGGATGGAGGGCTCCCCCAACTTCAAAATTGGAGTGCACTTGCAGTACGTTTGGTTCATTACCACCTTTTAATCCCTCTACATTATCAATATATGCACACTGAAAATTTGTGACAAAAAATGCAATCTTGATGAAATATTAAGTATAGTCAGGGCTTTCTTTCAGTTGGAACTCACCGGAACACAGTTCTGGCACCTCTCAAGTGGGCACCATTGCCATTCAAAGAGGACGATGGAGATGTTCATGGTGAGTTCTAACACCTCTATTCTAGAAAAATAGTACTGAGTATAGTGTCTTGCTGATGTGCACATGCCCTCTTTCACATTGGTTAAGACAAAAAGCAAAAAGGTTCTTTGACCCAGCCATATACAGGACCCTGTACAGATTTCAGAAATAAAAGCTAGAACAATGAACTTCTGTAATGCATTGGTTCCACTTCAGAAACATGGTCAACCTAATTTGGAATATCATAAGTTTATATGAGCTAAATTTTGGAAGCATTCCTAGACTTGCATCCAGTAGTTTTCCCTTTATCATGACAGTAAATGTGTGGTCTCAAAAGCTGCCTGCTCTCCCAGTTCAGTGCAATGCACCTCTGTCCTGGCTTACCCTGTTTTCATACAAAGCATTGACTTCTTCTTTGCTCCTCTGGGCGATGCTCTGATACCAGGCCTCAACATTTCTGATGATGCAGTCAACATCCAAGCCTCGATTGTTGTCCATTTGCAAGAGGATATTTGTGTCACAGACATGGCCATCCAACTGTGCTAATTCCTGCAATTCACAGAAAGTCTGCATGTGAACGAGAAATCAAGGAATCTAACACCTCTAGGTTTAGTTTCTAAAAAGGAAAAGGGTTAAAGTAAATTGGCAGATGGCACCCACTATTCTAGAAGCTCTGACCTAATGAATATAGGCTGAACAGATATGAATTGCATAAGCACTCTGCATTGGACTCAAAGGTAGTGGTAGTAGTATTGGGGGGGTATTTTAAAAAATGTGTTTTTATTTATTTTCCAATATCATTCCAATAGCAGCCTCATTATAACAATACCGTCATAGTTCATGTTATGTTTGCTTCATGTTACGTTTTTTCAGGTTGCGTCCCGCGGCGACCCAGAAGTACTGGAAAGGGTTACTTCTGGGTTTTGCCGCTCGTGCATGTGCAGTTGTGCTAAATCACGTTTCACGCATGCACACAAGCACCAAATCGCACAGCACACTTGCGCAGATATGGCGCTTCAGGTTGTGGGCTTTTCACATTGTGAACGGGACTCAGGAACGGATCCTGTTCGCAACCAGAGGTAAAGCTGTACCAATTTTATCCAATTAATATAATTATTCAAATGTCAAATTATACAATTTAATCAAACTGTGTGCTAGATTTGATGCTTTCGTTCTTCTACATTTTTTCTGCATTCCAAAATCTTAATAATTCCTTATATAACAGCTACAATCTTGGGATTTCATTTGTGTTGGTACATTAGGTAATTTATAAAATTTCAAGTGAGGAACTCTAACTGCAATCCTTATTCTTTCCTGTGTGTGATGTTTTCCCATCCATATATGGTGTTATATCTTTCATTCCTACGACTGTTGATGGTTCCTGTCATGCCCTGGGAGAAGCGGTTATCTCACAGTTTCCAGTAGTCACTGCATCACTTCGTCCTGTAATTTGGCTTCCAGGAAACAAACCGTCTTTGCCATTTTTCCAGCCTAGGAAGAAGTCTGAATCCAGACTGCAAATAGTTAATCCAAAAGCTTCTATTCTTGCAGCTGGTAGACTCCTTTCCTCCCTGCCACTGATTTATGGACAATTATCCTTATCTCAAAAATATTCCTTTGTGGATAACTGAGGTCACAGGTTCCCCAGCCCTGATCTAAAGGGTACTCACTTAGTTTCTATTTTGTCTGCACATATCAATCACCTCTGACACAACTATTCACCATTTCCATGGGACACTACCTTTCCACTGTGAGTAGTAATTCACCGAGGAGAATGCACTCTCATTCTTTACTCCAAACAAAGCTCAGGCCTGTCTTCATAGCATAAAGGGCTATGAATTATGTTTACACATTCAGTCCATGAGTCTCTATATCCAAGACTGAATCATACTTACCTCCAAATAAACACATCTGCGGAATTCAAATTCCCGTCTCAGCAAATCCACTTTCCCCTCCAGTTCTGTCTTGCGTAGTGCGAGAGAGTCTACATCCTAAAGAAGATGGAACTGCTAATTAAACTTGAACAATTGCTGAGATAATAATGACAAGGCCAGCTGCAGGTTGGAAAGGTTCAGAACAAGTAACTAAATATTCAGAACAGACAACTGCATATGCCCAACTGCAAGTCCATGAAGCAAGAAGATAAACAAAGATGCTCTCTTTTATGACTGAAATACACATAAGCCTTCAAGAAACGACAGACCCAAGAATTAGAGTGGGAATAAATACACACCCACCTTGTTCATGGTGAATATTCTCAGGGTTCATGAATATTCAACAGGTATTTGATGCTTGGCAATCCAGAATAAACAGATGCAGTACATGTGGTGACCATTTTGCACAAGGGTTCCATTCCTGACCCCCACACGTGTCGGTGAAGGATACATAGGCTTGCCCTGCCCCCCCCCATTCCACCCCGCCCACTTTTCAGGCCAATTCCAGGTCATGTACCAATCTGCATGTCAATCGGATGCACATAAAATGGCCACTGCCTGTAACTGGTAAGCACTAACAGTAAAAGCAATTGACAGTACCTAACACATAGCATTGATTATCTGACCATCTTTCATGGGAAACAAACAGAGCCTTTGTCATTATCTGAACAGACAGGCAGAAAGTAAACAGTATTTTAAAGAGTTTTTAAAATTTGCAAAAATATAGTTTCGGAGAGACCCTAATCTAGACTCAGGGGCCATTGCTTAGCAACATAGAGAGGCTAGGCCTGATGGCTCCATCTGACCAAAGACTTGGACCCAAAGGTTCTTACATGAGCAAAAAAGCTTTTGCAAGGTTTTCCCTACAAATTGCTCTGATTTTTTCATCCTGCTGCAACCCCCTAACCCATACCCAATCCCTTGCAGGGTGTCCTCACCCTTGGGAACAGATTTTTCTGGGGGTGCAGGAGGCTGGGGTGGTAGAAAAGTCAGAAGCACTATTCTATGAAGAGTTCTGTTTGCTCTTGTCTGGATCCAACCCAAAGAGACTTGTGTGGAGAGGCTGGAGAAAGGCAGCTTAGGCCTCTGGAGCAATTTCCCATTTCCTGGCTTTTGGCCCTGACATCCTCAGGAAATAACTCTGGCCAGGTCAAAAGGTATCTGCAAGGTGCTGAGACTCATCTGGCAGATGGCATTCTGAGGGTGACACATAGGTGCCAACTCCCTGGGGCTCTGGTGCCCAAGCACCCACAAAATTCCCCATGGGTGCATGGCACCCATGGCCCTTGTCATCCGTGGTTGCAGGACCAAGCTGACACTCCTGGGATGACGTGAGAGATTTCCTGCTCAGAGGGACACCTGCCACGTGGGAAATGGCAAAGTGCAAGTCAAAGTGCAAGTCAAATTGCTGGCAGGGGCTCAGTGTTGCCCCCAGGACACTGATGTAAATAAATGAAGGATTTAATTTGCAGTGAGACTCTATGCTCCATATGAAAACCACTGAATCTGAACACCAATCTGAAAACCTTACCTTCTTGAGTAGTACAAATTCATTTTCTGCTGTTGTACGCCTTTTGAATTCCTCTTCATATCTGTTGAAACATGAAGGGAGAGCTCTGTGCAACTCAAAATCACCTTTCTGTACCCCATATAGTAAGGTGCACAAGAGCCCTGTTCAGATGTTCAAAGATGTCCCTCCCATATTTAATAATAATAATAATAATAATAATAATATAAATAATATATGCTTAAAATGCAAATTACTTGCACTTCAGTTCTTCTACCAGTTGTTGGATAGCAGCCTCTTCACTTGCTAGGTGTTGCCTTTCATTCAGTAAACAGTCTAGCTCCTTCTTCATGTTGCAAAGGAAACTTTCATAGAACGGTTCAAGGTTTTTCTTTGCCGGTGTGACATGCTCTTGCAGGAGGTTCCACTTTGTTTCAAGAACCTTGTTCTGCTGCTCTAGGGTTCGTACCTGTTTCAAAACAAAGAAACACCCAAATGATACCAAAATTAAGTCAATCGGAAAACAAACCAAAGAGAAAACCTACTTTCAGAACAGGCATTTAAATTGCTTTGTGTGTGTATTGCATTTAAAGAATAAAGGAACCCTGCTGGATTTGTCCAAAGAGCTATTTGACCAGCTCTGGGAAGTACAGAAGCAAAATATGAGCATTATAGCATTGCCCCATTGTTTTTTCCTCTTGATTCTGGAGGCAGAATATATAACATAGCGACTCTGTCAGTTGCTAGTGAAAACTTTATCCTTCATGAATTAGTCTAATCGCTTGAGATAACTCTCTTTTATAATTCATTTCAGCCTCTACAAATGTACATAATCACATGTGCAATCATGTGCACACAGTTCGATCCGATTGGTTGCTTGCATGAGGATGCAGAGCCATTTTTAAAGTGATCCGAACTAAAAGTACCCATGTTGTGGGCCTGATTGGGCTTCTTATTTCGAGTTAAGTCCAAAACATTTGTCTTCTCACCTTATCAATGAAGCCAGCAAACTGGTTGTTGAGGTTCTTCATCTCTTCCCTCTCATGATTTCGTACGACATGTTCCTGTGGATCAACTCCCAGATGTAAAGGCTTCAGGAGCTTCTCGTTGATCCTGACTCCATGGATGCCATCCCCCCTGAAGTTAGAATATCCTGGGAAAGGCCCGTCACTTTCATCAGGGTCATAAATTCTGTAGCGGTAATGAATCACCCTGCGACCATTCCCCATGCTGCCATAGCCACCAAAAGATCCAGGACCATAGCCACCATAAGAAATTCTTCTGCTTCCGCCCAAGTTAGAAAGACTTTGGCTGCTGAAGCCACGGACCCCATATCCATTTCTGACTGGATAGCGTACAGAGGCGACATATGTCCTGTGCCCGCCTAGTCCACACACAGCAGACGCCGAACTGAATCCCCTTCCTCCCATGAAGGTCCTTGCAGCAGACATGTGATGAGTCATTGCAGCAAGCTGGGATAGGCTAGTTCCAAGAAAGCAGGTGCAGCAGAAGCAAAGTGGAGAGAGCAATCCTCTGGCACAATACCTGAAAGCCAACTCTTATATACAGCTGAGGAGTTGGCCTTGATTGGTCTAACATTTTAATTTTGGAGCATGCATGGGTTTGGCCTCCCTCAGGCCCAGGAATGCCCTTCGATGTACAGAACATAATAGTGAATGCAAACCTAAGAAACAATGAGAATTTTTAAAGGAATTGCTTTGTTTGCAAGCTTGGCTTGTAGGATATTACATTTGAGAATCATTTCCCACAAATGCATTAATTACACTTTAGACAGAAAATTATTTAAGGGAGTCTTCCTCTTTCGTTGACCACAGCCAATAACATTCTGCAGAGTTGCAAGTCAAGGCTGTGCTTTTAGCATCTTAATTTTCTTGTTACTGTCCCTTTTTTCTTTGAGCAACAGATGGAACTCATGTTTGCTGCTTCTTTGCCATCCATCAAATAATAGCTATCCTCAAACTTTGTTTATACAAAGGATAAATTTAAATGTGATTTACCACTCCTATTTGAATAAATGGAGACTTAATAAATGCACAGATGTGTCAAGTATTCGTATGGCCCAGTTTTATTTACTAAGCTCTATTGATTTCAGTGGGACAAAAATGAGTGTCACAATGTGACTAAAGCAGCAATCTGTTCTTCTGTGAAAGTTCCATTATGCACAGCTTTGTGCCACTTATTTATTTAAGTAGAAGGAACGCAGGTATAACCAGCTTTCTTTCTTTGACTTAGGCCATATCTGCATTGTACATTTAAAGCAGTATTATACCATATAAGCAGCCATGGCTTTCTCCAAAGAATCCTGGGAACTATAATTTGTTAAGGGTGCTGAGAGTTGTTAGGAGTGGCCTATTCTCCCCATAGCAACTGGAATTCCCAGAGTTTCCTGGGTAGAGGATTGATTGTTAAACTACTGCAAGGCAGATATCTACAGTGTTGGTGCTTCAAATTCACTTGTTCCCCCAGACTTTCCCAGAGGGTGATCCAGTTGTGTTCATGTATTAATCTGAATGACTGATTTGTGGTGTATTCTCTATTTGTTTTATGGTTGCAATTTTATGGCTGATTTTTATGCTGCTCACCACCACGATAATTTTCTCTCAATAGGATATGTGTCTCAATGGGACACTGTGGACTGGGTAGACTTGATTGACAGAGGCTGTAGACAATAGGTACAAAGCTGAGACAGAGGTCTGCACCCAATGGGCACTGCTGTAGTGAGAGGTGCTTGCATGAGCAGGCCATAGCTGTCAACTTTTCCCTTTTCTTGCAAGGAATCCTATTCGGAATAAGGGAATTTCCCTTTTAAAAAAGGGAAAAAGTTGACAGCTATGGAGCAGGCACAGGGGCTTCTAACCAAGTGGGGGAGGTTGAGGTGCCAGGTACAGAATCAGGCCAAATCCATTTGAATAAAGTAGAGAGGTTAATGGTGAGGGTGGGGTAGAGGTTGATGAGAAGACAGCAGCCTGAGAATGGGCCTGAGCCTGGGGTTAGATCAGTTTTTCCCAAACTTGAGTCTCTAGCTGTTTTTGGACAACGATCCCATCATCCCTGACCACTGGTCCTGCTAGCTAGGGATGATGGGAGTTGTAGTCCAACAACAGCTGGAGACCCAAGTTTGGGAAACACTGGGTTAGACCTACACTGGCATTAGGGGTAGCATCAGTGGCAGCTTCTGAGGACTGTGTAATGTGGAGCAGGAGGGCCAATGAAGGGGCTGAAGGGTTGAATTTGTGCTTAGCACTATAAGGCTTGAGGTGGGTTGGTGGGAATGAGAAGATCTGGCAGTTGTTGGCTGGGCAGGTAAGATGGAAACAAGATGGGTGGGCCAGGCGGCAGCTCATGGTCTCATTCCTCATAGCTGATTGTGTTGAGTGGGTGTGGTGAGAGTAGCTGTTCATCTTTGGCTCTTTCTGTGAAATGTTCAGTTGGGGACTGGGGGTGGAGAGTTTTGGGGTTTTGGGTTTTTTTTAAGAGGAGCAAGGCCAGAGCTGAGCTGATGACAGGGTTGGTGAGCAGCATGAGTAAGGAGGCACTGTCTCCCCTGACAGTGTGGTGTAGTGGTTAAGAGCAGTAGACTCATAATCTGGGGAACCGGGTTCACGTCCCTGCTCCTCCACATGCAGCTGCTGGGTGACCTTGGGCTAGTCACACTTCTCTGAAGTCTCTCAGCCCCACTCACCTCACAGAGTGTTTGTTGTGGGGGAGGAAGGGAAAGGAGAATGTTAGCCGCTTTGAGACTCCTTCAGGTAGTGATAAAGCGGGATATCAAATCCAAATTCAAACTTTCTCAATGCTGGTGGGATATAATTTTTTGCTAAATAAATAGTTGCCAAAAGAAATGGGATGTGGTTCAGTGGACTGCTAGTACACACACCTGTGT